ACTATATGCTTCCTAGAAAGAGACCACTGGAAGGCGAGGCTGTTAAAGAAAGTGAATCGGAAAGCGTTCTGAAGAAGAGTCGTTTCTGTTTCTTTGCCGATAGTAAGAGCGTTTGTGAAGGAAGTGGCAGTGGGAGTCAAGAGACCAACATTGACGGAACCAGTAGTGTTAGTTTAGAGAACAGAAACAGTAACAACAGCTGCAGCCGGGAGGAGCCTTCAATTACGGAAATGGCCTTTGACGTTGGAAAATCGCACGATATTGATGAAGATCTCCATAGCAGGCAGCTTGCTGTGTATGGACGAGAGACGATGCGGCGGCTTTTTGCGTCAAACGTTCTGGTATCTGGAATGCAAGGCCTCGGTGCTGAGATCGGTAGGAATTCTTCCATTTTTGAGTGCGAACTAACATGCTTATGTGATCGAGTTCAATTATTTTATTTATTTGTATAATTCGAGATTGGATTTGGAAATCTGGATTAGGCTAACTCATTCAAAATAAAGAAAGATCACACAGATAGATCTTCTGTATCCGAGCTGCTGTTTATTTTCCTTTCTTTTTTGTGGGAGTTTCTATTTATTGCTGATGTTCAATTAATTTTTATTTGAAATTTAGGTTTGGTAGATTTAGATGATAAAGCCTTTATAATAAGATGAAGAGTTTTTAATTTTTTTGTCTTGTGAGTAAATGTTTTGGCTCAAACGTCTATTTTGTTTTGGTGTTTATTTTAGCTTGCAGTTCTGCTGTAAGATATATTATTTTAGTGTTTATTTTAGGTCAATTTTCCCATCTGGAAATTGTTTATTGTATGTAAACGGAACTATTGAATAATTTGAGTGAAGGAATATTTGGAGTAGCTAGTGTGATATCTGACTTTTGCAATACATTACAGCTAAGAACCTTATTCTTGCCGGTGTGAAGTCTGTCACGTTGCATGATGAAGGAAAAGTGGAGTTATGGGATTTGTCTAGTAACTTTATTTTCTCTGAGAATGACGTTGGTAAGAACAGGGCACTTGCATCTATTCAGAAACTACAAGAGCTCAACAATGCTGTGGTTATCTCGACCCTGACTATGAAATTGACGAAAGAACAACTTTCTGAATTCCAGGTAAAGTTTTCGTGTTATTATTTTTGTTACCTGTGATCATTGTAACGTTTGTTAGTGACTTTTCTCTGACAAAGTCTATACACAAGTACTTAAGACTAGTTATTTTGGTTAAATTAGTTCTCCAATGAGAAACTAACATCTTTCATAGTTATCTAAACAAGTGATCATGAGATTCGTCACCCTCCTTGATGAAGCAGGCATGTATAGGCTTATTTGAATGCACAAGTGTCATTTTTAATGATCCTATCACTAGGAATACCTTCACTATAGAAATATCAAGAAATTAGAGCTTGTTAAGATGATCTCGCCATTGTTCTACTTTTCTCCCATTCTAGGTCTTGGTTGAGCAATGGTATGATATGCATAATAAACAAACATGACATATGGAGATGCTTTTGATAAATATGTGATAACAGCTGTTGAGATATGAATAAAAATGTCTTACAAGTACTGCCCCATCACACCTCATGCAATTGTGTTGAAGGGCACACTTCTAAAATTGTCTACTGATTGCTTATCATTCCTTCACTTCAGATGGCAGAGCTGGCACACTACTTTCTACGCTCAATTGCACTAAAGCCAATTACGAAGCGATTCCGTGTCAAAGAATTGTTGTTGAGTGAAAAACCTGGACCTATATATTATGTAATTAGCTAAATCTTGCAGTATCTATATCTCCCTTCCCAACGATCTCTTTGATCACATAAAATCATGAAATGTGCTTAGATTGTTGATGAGACCTTGGTTCCTTGCCTGAGAATCACAGAGTAGTTGTCGCTGAATAGGGTTACCATATTTCCTATCAATCTGAATAGTAATGAATCATGGATCTAAATTGCCTCTGAGTAGCATCACTTGCCACGCTGTATTCAGCCTCGATCGTGGAGTTAATGACAGTCTTATTTTGGAGAGCTTCTTAATCTCCTCTATTTAAGGTGAAGATTTACAGTGAAGTGGATTTAACATGATCAAAGTCAAATTGAATTTAGGATCATTATGGCCATATTGAAAGCTTGAGTAAGTGAGGCCATTGACTTTCAAGTCTACTTTTACTTTTTTATTAAATAAATACCCATTTGCAACCTATGGGCCTGACATACTTTTATGGGTCTCCTAATGTCCATCCGTAGTTGGATTGCTTGGTGACCATCTCTTCATCCTACTCGGTGTTAATACTAGCTTTCTTGTTGATCAAGTGGTGATTGAGGTTTTTTAGTTCATTTGAGCTTTATTTTGCTCCCACTTCTTCTGGATGAACTCCTCTTGAAAGATGCATGTTTTGAGACAATCAGCTTTTGCTCAATGAAATTGTAGTAGTACCTTATACTCTGTTTTTAGATATGCCAAAAACTTGCATTTGTCAAATAGATACCATGTTTTATGGATAGGCAATGTCATGTATGTAATAGAATATCAATGGTTATTTATTAACTACAGTAGGGTATTGATTTTATTACTTCAAATAATTTGGTTGGTTCATGATTCTTTTGTGATGTTTATTAACTGATGCTCAAATTCTGGCTCAATCTGAACTTGGATGGTTTGAGACTTCTCTTCTTTTGGTCTTGTATGAAGGACTTCACAATATTCTTGCCAGCATTGGTTATTTGTACTTGGATTCTTTGTTGTTTGTATTTCCATGTAGAAGTTTGTCAGAGAAAAAACATTTCTAGGAAGGCAATATAGTAGTTTGCTTGTGCATTGCTCACGAGGACAAGTACATTTATCAAATGAAGTGTATAATATGTTAGTTGGGAAGTACTTCGTTGTAGATTTCCCTTTTATTGTTTTTGATCTAGTGGTACTTTGAATTACTATTTGTGTTAATTTCTTTATTTTTTCATTAGAGCTATCCTAGATTTATGTGACTGGTGTAGATGGAATATGGTTGGCACCTTTGGCATTTTTAATAATTTTAATCCTAAACGTGACAGTTTTGTGATTTATGAGAAATTTTGCTTAAGTTTGAATTTTGTGTATGGATAGTGAAGTGAATAATATTTGGCAAAAAATACAGGCTGGCGATGCGCTATCCACAATGATGGTACTATCCTTTCATGTAATTATTATCAAGTATTGATTGGTAAAATGGACAAACAGCAAATAATTTGGAGAGTTTTTAGGCCCCTGTTTGGGCTTCATTTTTTCAAAAATATATTTTTTCAAAACTCATTTTCAACTACACATTTTCTCATAAAATAATGTTACACGTAAATCCAAAATTTTTCCTTATCTTTTACTACACGTTCTCCAAAAAATCGAAACATATTTTCCCCCAAAATCTCATTTTAATGGAGGCCAAATGGGGGCTAGATCTCATTTGGGAAGAATTTATAAGAAGTATAATTTATAAATAGATAGAAATGGGTGGTAGATAAGTGGACAGTACTTGTGGGTTCATTGAAATGTGTGGTTGGGAATGAAGTTTAAACATTTATAAATGATTTTTAATTTTTCCAAATGGAGGCGTAATATTTTGACTACCCTGTAGTGTAGTTCAACGAATTTACTGTCATACAGTTTAAAGGACAGATAAATTGCAGAATTATTTCCACAACGAGTTGTGCTACTTCTAGAATTTGTCCATCTTTTTACTTTCATTGCAAGTGTTTAATGTCTAATCGTGCAACTAGATATCAGATTGACTGCTTGTGATTCAGTATACAATTTCCCTTTCGATTTTGAGCTCTATACCTTGTGTTAATTTTCTTGCATGAGGATTTTGGATAGTATGTTTGCTAGGTATGTCGCAATTATGCATTGATTACTTATAATGATGGTGGTGAATGCAGGCTGTGGTTTTTACTGACATAAGCTTAGAGAATGCAATCGAGTTCAATGAATACTGTCACAATCATCAACCTCCTATTGCTTTCATCAAGACTGAAGTTAGAGGCCTTTTTGGTAATTGTTTTTGTGATTTTGGACCAGAGTTTACTGTCTTCGATGTTGATGGCGAGGAACCTCATACAGGCATTATTGCATCTATCAGTAATGATAACCCTGCTCTTGTGTCGTGTGTGGACGATGAAAGGCTAGAATTTCAGGATGGGGATCTTGTTGTGTTCTCAGAAGTACAGGGAATGACAGAACTCAATGATGGGAAGCCGAGAAAGATAAAAACTGCACGACCATACTCTTTCATCCTTGATGAAGATACCACAAGTTTCGGTGGATATGAGAAAGGTGGTATCGTAGCTCAGGTAAAACAGCCCAAGGTTTTGAACTTCAAGCCGCTGAGGGAAGCAATTAAAGATCCTGGAGATTTTCTTCTTTGTGATTTCTCTAAGTTTGACCACCCACCTCTCTTGCATTTGGCATTCCAATCGCTGGATAAGTTTGTCTCTGAATTGGGGCGCTTCCCAGTGGCTGGTTCTGAAGAGGATGCTCAGAGGTTGATATCTATTA